ATATTTGTAGAAAAGACAGAGGGAAGCCACGGCATGTCAGTAAGAAAATGACTGAAGTCGAGATGCCAGGTTAGGACCAATTACATTACTGATCCTTCTTTGGATTTTTTCAAGAACCTTGAGAACCAGACCAGATATGGCAGCAGTATTCAATGCATGTGTGAATGGTAGAATTGTAAATGTGCAAAGTGGATTCTGACAAGAAAAATCTTCTGGCACAACACCGTGACCCAACTTTCCTTGCAGTAGATGAAGCAATTGATTCAATGTAGTCACTCCACTTCAAGTCAGTTCAAGACATGAGGCCAAGAAGCCACAGTGTGTTGCTCTCCAGGAGTCTAGCATCCTCCATGGTGACGGCAGGCAGAAAAGGTTCTCTATGGTGGTTAAATGAAAGCAGTTTTGTTTTGGACAAATTAAAATTTACAAACCATTTCCTGTCCCAGTTAGCCATTAATTGGGGATCCTTTTCAAGAGATGTGCATTGTTTCACTTGATATTTCCATGCTGGAATGAAAGCTTTGATGTCAACTTTCACCCAGGAGGAGACCTCAGAGGTGCATTTTTGAACAGGATGATTAAAAACTTCATTCTAAGGGACGTCACAAAGGAAGTCACGCAATGAGTCCCAATCAGCGCATTGATAACAGAAAGATATTATCTTGGTAGGAGGTTCTTGGCTGGTAGGAGATCAGAAAGAGATGTTTATAGACACTACCTCATGATCAGAGCTGCCAAGAGGGCAGATCTGCAGAGGGCAAAATAAGTTAGTGTTAGAGCTGAAGATGAAATCAAGAAGAGAAGCATGTCTATCAGAATTACTAGGGAAATGCAAGAGAGATTGAGTGATTGAGAAGTTCAGGGTTTGGATGTCAGAAAGGTCAGTGGCAGAGTGATTAAGCCACCTACCATGGTGGGCATTAAAGTCACCGAAGACATATATTTGCAAACAAGTGTAGAGAGATGGCCTTGTCTATATTATCAGAAATATTATCTAGCATGCAATATTTATGAAAGGGAGAGGAAAGGTAGAAAAAGAAGAGAGAGTTGACTGAGTTTATTAAAGAAAGATGGAGACACATGTTAGAATGGTCTGGAGACTCAAGAATAAGTTCCCTAGCCAGCAGTAGATGTTCACAGAGATAAATTCCCAAACCATGCATGTGGAGTCCTTTCAAAAGAGAGGAAGATAACCAAGAATCAAGAATTCAAAGGAGGGATTTGCAGAGTTACCATTAGTTTTGCAGAGAGCTAGGATGTCCGGAGATTGTTCAAAGAAGTTGGTATGACTACCACGAATTTTGGAAAAAGAAAGGTTCTGGGTTTGGGTGTTTTTTGTGGAGCTAGTTTTGTTTTATTTCTTTGGTTACTTATTATCTTGGTTCATTATTTGGGTAAGAAAAAAGACCGAGAGGCAGTAGTAGCAGTCGTTCATCTAATGTCATATACATGGACAAGGAATTGCCACAGACTGCAACATAATGTGACTAGGCATTACCCACCAGAGTTATTTGCAGGGACACCTTTCTATGCATAACATGGCACTGCAAGAACCCCAATATTATGCAAGTGTTGATCAGAGAAGCCTCTCTAGATGCTACGCAAGAGTTCAGACTCCTAGCTACCAGTCAGGAAGCAGAAAACTGCAAACCTGGTACCTTCAGTATGCAGAGACATAGTCACCAGCCACAAATATCAAAAATTCATGATAGCATTACTATTAAGGCCTCAGAAGAAGAAAGGAACCTGGAACCCCTTCTAAAACAGGAAACAAGGGATGAGCTTCTACTCCTAATCAAGAGAAGGGAAGGAGTATAAACCAGGTGACAGAAAGGCCAATCTACTACTATGGGGGGAAGGTTACTAAGTTTTAACTTAGTCAAAGTCACGATATCCATTAAAAATTCAACAAAGAATTAAAAATGGGAGATAACTCTGTCTTCCAAACATTCCTGGGATTGGCTTTCCAGTTAAATTAATTCTCAGAATATTCATTCTGTTAACTAATTTGGAGAATTGAGCATCAGCCCACGGAACTCTTTTTAATCATACTAAGTTTAATTTATTTATTTCTGACTGATATTCTAATTTATTTGGGAAATTTTGGGGTAGGAGAGGTAGTAGTAATCTATCCCTAGTCATGAAAGAATAGTCAGTTGCTAATTGTAACAGAGTAAAAAAAGAAAAAAAAACATGAGGGGAAGTGGAAAAATCAGGCATGGCTGACTACATATGGAGAGAAAAGGAAGATCACTGCCCTCTGTGGGATCAGGTTGAGATCATAGACAAAGAATACCATTGGAAAAATCTTAAACTTAAGGAATCAGCACATATGCTAGGCCACAAAAATCTCCTGGGCCGACCAAGCATAGAAATTAATACAATATGGGAACCAGTAATAAAGAGTGCCAGAGGAAAGCGATAATAACAACAAAAATTGCAATATGAGCTCTGGTAAAAAAAAAAAGTGCAATGATAATAGCAAAAATTGCAATATAAGCACTGGTAAAAAATGGTTACTGAAGACATTAGGTTTATAATACCCAGAAATTCATACACAGATGTCCTCAGGGGCACAATGGATAAAGGCGTTAGTTAGATCCAGTGACATGACCCAAAGAGTGAGAGTTCAATACCTGGTTAAAGCAGTGGAGAACTTTCAGAGGGAAAATTAACAGGAGATAACTGATATCCATTAAACATGGCACATGGAACTAGAACAGTCTACTCCAGTGAGCGAAATAAATGGTTCAGTTCGACATTCCAACCACCTGAAGAAGGCCGGAACGTACAACAGCTGAAACGTTGTAATAAATATGGTGACAAAGATGAGGACAATAGTCCAAATAATGTAAATAATGTAACAAGTGTTTGTTTCACATTGTTAAGTTCTTTAAAGAAAAGCAGACAAGGGGATGAATTCTTCTGTACTCGCATAAAGAGATCTTTAATAGCACCTATTTTATATCTGAGAGGACATTGACTAGTAAAATTAAGATGGCAAGAGTTTTTAATTGTGGGTTTTATATAATGAAGTAGTGAATGTGTTGTTACTAGACACCACAAGAATATCCAAAAATGGGAGTTTATTTTGTTAGCTAAGTTCATAAGTAAAGTTGAGGGCATAATTTTTTGGGATGTAGCTTTGAGATTATCAATTTCATTTTTGTTCTCAGCTAAAATAAAAATATCATCTATGTAGCAGACATATATTTTCAGTTTAATAACTTTTTAAAAACCTTGTTTTCTATATAGGACATATAATAGAGAAGCATGGACCAAAATATATATATATCATTTCACACTATGTAAGGTAATAAAGCCACTATGATGCAAGGGTTTACTGAGTGTGAGAGAATATAAGAAAAAGAAACAATTTTTAAGAAGCAAGAACAACAAAAGAACAGGAACTGAGAAGACAAGATAACAACTGACATTGCATTTAAATTTTTGAAGATCAAATTTGACTGGAAAGCAAGAAGCTGAAAAAGAGTTCTACAAGTGAGAAGTGCAAGAAATTGTTAGCTTAGAAATTATAGTTATGTCTAGCCATTTCAACAGTAAAAGGATGAGGCCTTACCACCAATTTAGTACTGCACTTTAATTCATAATATATAATAGAGGAAAATTCATCAGAACAATTACCATAAAAGTATTTAAAGAAAAGGCTCAGATAAGTTACATTACAGTGGTGGGATAGTAACTGATACAAGGTCAGGCTCAATGACATTGCAGTTACTGGATTTTATCAAGGATCTCTGAATATACATGAAGAGCACCAGACTATATGTAGCTGTAATATTCAAAGCATGGATAAATGGTAGACTTATAAATATGTAAGATAGATTCAGGTGATAAAAATTGACTAGCACAACACAGTGAACCAACTTTCCTAACGGCAGACCTAGCAATTGATTCAATATAATCTTTCCACTTCATGTTAGCAGAAATGTGTCACTCTCCTTGAGATTATATCAGACATGCTGATGGAAGGCAGAAAGGGTTCTCTAAGACAGTTATTAGAGAGCAGTTTTGTTTTGAAAGTATTAAAATTAACAAGCCATTTCTTGCCTTAGTTAACAACAGAATGTAGGTCAGTTGTTTAGAGCAGCTGCCAATATGAACTTATTAAACTGACAAGACTTGCTATTGACAGGTAAATAGTTGTATAATCAGCATAGATACCAAGTTGAGAGCTGATGCCATCAGAAAAATCATTGATGAAAATTTGAAACAATGTAGCTCCGAGAATAGATCCCTAATATATATTTGCATTCATACAAAAAGATCTAGAAGAGTAGCCATTCAAGATTACTTTCAGAGTGGTAGCACCTGTTAGGGTCCCAGCTATAGGCAAATAGTGAAACCCCAAGCAAAAACAAAATATTGTGAAAGTGCATTTTTGTGGCAAAATACTAGCAATGCATTTTTGTATAAGGAAATTAGCAGCAATACATATTTATAATAAAATTATCGACACTATATTTTATGGTAGATTTACCAACAATATATTTTATCTAAAGTTGAAAGCATACAATTGCATTCAAAATATATTTAGTTGAAGCTGTAAAATTGTGTTCAAAATATTTAGATTTCAGCATTAAATAACCCATAAAGATGTTGCTATGCCACTAAAAAACATCAACCAACCAAATCAAGACCACTTTCATTTCACAATTTGATAAGAAATCATTTTAAAAATTCATCCAGAAATACCATAAGCTTTCAACTTGTGAACCAGACTAATATGCAAAACCCTGTCAAATGTCTTTTAACCTGATTCTACCCTTCTGTCGAGCCGATTGCTATTTATTCAGGATTGAAACTGTATAATCACATGTATGCATAAATAACATGACCCGATTATATGCTTTGCTTTCATTAAATCACATTTAACATTGATGTGTTACATTCACATGTACTACCATGAATTTTTAAGATCAAATCATGCTGTTGAATATATTACAATATATTCATATTCATTTTGTGCTTCTCTTCAGAAATTATTAAACAACTTGAAGATAAAGGAAAAATTGAAGTTGATAAGTCAAAAAATGAGGAACTGCTGAAGAAAAACTTAAGGTTTGTCAATGTTTTTTTTTAATTATAATTATTTCATCATTTGATAAGTTCATTGAAACCAAATGGTTAGAATTTCATTTTTATTTCATGAAAAATGTCTGTCTTTTCTTGTGACTGAAATTTGTTTTCAAGATTTTCTGGTTTCTGTCATATTAAACCACATGCCATGAAATCAGGCAAAAACTTGTTTAGTCATGCATTCAGAATTTCAGGATTTTTTCATTCATACCTTATATCTTCAAAATCATTTTGTTGATATTGAAATTCAAATGAATATGAGTAAATTTCACAAAGTTTCCTGTAAGATATAAAGGCAGAAATCTAATTACCATTGCTCTTAAAGCTTTTTTACTTATCCATTTATAAAAGCACCTTAATTGTTCAAAAAGAAGCAGACTGTTGTTGAAATAAAGAAGTAAAAAATAACCAAGTACTCCATGTGTTCCTTATTCTTTTCTCCTTTGAACCTGAACATTTGCAAAAAATTAGTCTTTGTTAAAATAGCTAATCTCAGTAATTCTTGGTTGCATATCTACCAAATAAAATGCTTTATTTTTTATTATCACTTTCACTACTGTATAGCTTTAGAATTGTTGCCTGGCTGTACTAACCCATTTTAGGAAATGACTAAAGACACGAACAGCAATTTTTTGTGAACACCACCATTTTGATTTCAATCAAATATTCTGCAGTTCAGACTAAGCTAAACAACACCCCACCAACACAATCAAAATATGACATAAAACAGGTCATATGGTACATTACTGTATGTTTATGTTGGTTTAGAAATATCACTAAAGGCACTGTTTTCCAAACACAGAAAATAAAACATTTCTATAACTCTAAATACATACATACATATTCAGTTAAAAATAGAATAAAATTCATCCTTGATAATGGCTAAAAGTATAGCTGAAAGCGCTTGGAAAACATTCAAACTGTTTTTATATAATTTATGTCCTGAAAAGAAAAAATTATATGAACATATGAGAAATTATATAAAAAATTCAACCACAACACCTTCTCAGTCATTTTCAACAAAACTTACAGATATACATAATGTACATATAAAATTATATATGTCAACAGAAGGCAATGTAAATTTTGTGAACATGTATAAGTATGTTGAATATTTTTAGAAGTGTTATAAATAAATGTCAACTCATTCCTCTTTTTTTTTTTAATCATTTCACCCAAGCAAGGCAATAAAGCCACTAGGATGCAAGGGGTTACCAAGTGTCAGAGAATATGAATAAAACTATTATTAAGAAGAGAGAACAATAAAAGAACAGGAATTAAGAAGACAGAAGATAACGATTGACATTGTATTTAAATTTTTGAAGATCAAAGTTGACTGGCAAGCAAGATGCCAAAAGAGTTCCACAAACAAGAAATGCAAGAAAAGAAACTATCAGCAAAGAACTTACGGTTACATCCAACCATTTCAACTGTAAAAGGATGAGGCCTTTCTGCCAGTCTAGTACTGTACTTAAATTTATAATATATTGGTACCAAAGTATAACATTCATCTTAACCATGATGTGGCCATGAAAATATTTATAAAAAATTACAGGGAAGCTACATTATGATGGTGAGAAAGTAACTGAAGCCAGGGTGTCAGCTCAGAACCAATAACAATAAGATTCTTCTTTGTAATTTATCTAGAATCTCTAAATACATAGTAGAAGTACTAGACCAGATGTGACAGCATGTGATTCTGTTGAGAAAAAAATATCTAGCACTATATTTTATTTATATAAAAATAATATATATATATATATATATATAATTTATATAATATACTATATCTTTATTGTTTTTTCTGCCAACATTTTATTCTTGTACTGTTCAAAATATACTTGCTGTCTCAGTAAATTGCTAGAGACTCGTAACAAAATTAGATGTGCAATTTAAGAATTAAAAATTTCCTTCCCAAAACATTCCTTTGTAAAAATTAATTAAATTTTAGTATAATAATTTTTCTATTTTCTTTTTTGTACAGTCCGATCCTTTATGAAATTATAATTTGATGTTTGTCTGTTATATCCCTTTCATCCTCACAGATTTAATCAGTTTTAAATTTAATCAGCATTTCTATTTTTATCTCAAGTCATTTCTTAAAGGGGTTTACTCTTGATATTTGTGCTTTTCTGAAACATTATCTGTTTTATTATCTTGCCAGTATTTATTCTTGTTAATCTTTCAAATGTTTGTAGTCCACCAGAAGTGTGTCTGTGTGAAAGATCATATATGCAGCTACAAAAGTATGGCCACACTTTGAAACACAAAGGCTTATATCATTCTGTTTAGCTAATTAGCAAAGGTCATATATAAAAGAGTCTAGAAACAAAGTTTCAGAATAAGTGGGCTTGAGTTATAATAAAAGATGAAAAAAAAATAGACAATATGACATAGAAGTGAGAAAAATGGCAAACTTGATAGACAGTGACTATGAAAAGAAAGGTAATATAAAGCAAAAGGAGCTTTGACCTTTGTACTGCATTGAAAAAAAGGAAGAAAACTAGAATCATGATCAATACTACATCAACTTAACACTGAGTAGTAAATAGCCATTAATACAAAAGTTATACTCATTATGAAATGGACAAAGTCCGACAATTATTTTTTTAAGACATTTTTTATGTTTATACATTCTTTTTATAGATACAAATATTTTAGTAAATTCCCTGTTTATAATAAACAGTATTAACATTTACCGGCCTGAATGTCTGAGAAATTTTCATAGAAAATATGCGTTGTCCAACAGGAATTGAACCTGTATCCTATACGGAACTGTTATATAGCCTTATGTGCCTTTACCGATTGGATATGCATTGAACAAATATGAATGTATGAGAGAAAATCATGGACAATTGTGTTTAAATACAGTAAAATCAACCTTGCTAACCGAATGCTCAGTTCTGTATAAGATACAGGTTCGATTCCTGTCAGAGGACGCATATCATTCTATGACAATTTCTCAGACATTCAGGCCAGTAAATGTTGTTAATACTGTTTATTATAAACAGAGCATTTACTTAAATATTTGTATCTATAAAAAGAATGTATAAAGATAAATGTCTTAAAAAATAAAAGTTATGCTGCTAATACTAAAAAATAAAAGTTATGCTACTAATACTAAAAAATAAAAGTTATGCTGCTAATACTAAAAAATAAAAGTTATGCTGCTAATACTAATATGTATGTTATGGTGATTATTATCAAATCTTAAAAAGTCAATTTTCACTTGGTAAATGCTTGCGGCCATATCACATTGAAACACCAGTTCCTGTATAATCACCAAAGTTAAGCAACATTGAGTCTGACCAGTACCTATATGGGTGACCACTTGGGAATATCAGGTGCTGTAAGTTTGGATGTTCAGGTGGTATAATGGATAATGGCTCAAAATTGTTAATCGGAGAGCTGAGTTCAAGTTCCAGTTTAGCTCATGATATTCACTTACATGCAAATGAATCCGCCTCTTCTTCCCCAGCTAAATAATAATGAGTATATATTGTACTTTTTTTGCACTAGTATCTATTAGATAAAAACAAAAGTTTGTAGCATTTTTCAATAGGTGATGTTTAAACAGACGATGATATTGTTTCTCCACATAACTGAAATCTACGACATATATACATATTCGGAAAAGTGACATTTGAACATTTCTTTCTGCACAATTCGTGTGTGGATTGTGAATGTTTTGACACTAAAAGTGAAAATGGAAGAAAATGCTCTTTTAGTTCTGACAAAATGCTATGCAAACAGCAAAAAACGTTATGTGCTGTTTATAGAGATGGTGCCATAGCTTAAAGTGCCATTTGTAAGTGGTTTGCTAGATTCAGAAGGGGAAATTTTTATCTGGGAAGATGAGAATGTTCTGGCAGGCTTGCAGTCATTGATGATGACCAAATCAAAATGTAGACTAAAATAATCCAGATCACACAACACAGGACATTGTAGAGATATACTTCACGCATCTCGTACAAACATTGTAAGGCATTTGAAAACACTTGGATATACAAATAGCTACAATGTTTGTATGCCTCACAATTTAACAGTGTTTTCATCTGCAATTCTCTGCTCAAGCACAACAAAACCCATTTTTGAGCAGAACACTCATAGGCAATGAAAAATGAATTGTTTACAATAATGTGAAGTGAAAAGTCAAACATTTCAAAACCTAGTCTTCATCTGAAGATGATGATGCTGTGTATCTGGTTGAATTGGAAAGCTATTATGTATTACGAGCTTCTCCTGAAAAATCAGATGTTACATTCAAACAAGCACTGTTTCCAATTAAATTGATTGAAGTCAGCAATGGATTAACAAAATCAGAAGTGTACCATCATCCATCAAGACAATGTTATATCTCATGACTCCTTACAGATCCATTAGATATTGTACAGCTTGGCTGGGATGTTCTATTACACTCACCCTAAACACCTGACCATACATTTTTGGATTATCACATTTCAATCCTTACAAAATCTTTTTAATGAGCACTTCAATTCTCTAGAATCCTGTAAAATCTACTTAGACCAGTTTATCACCAAGTAAAAAACCAATTTCTAGGAAGATGGATTTATGAAGCTGTCACAAAAATAGCATAAAATATGATACATATGTGGTTGAATAAATCTATGTACAAACCTCTAAATATTGCTTTGGAAATACACCTAAAAATGCTACAAATTTTTATTCCAACCCACAGCCTTTTTATTTTGGGTCAGTAGACAATATAAAACCATTGTGGACAAAAGTTTTAGTTTCCATTTAAAATTTATTGTAAACAATTTCATTCAGAAACTTACATTGTTTTGGTGAAATACAGAATGTTTCTTAATGAATAAAATTAAATTCTTGAATGAATAAAATGCTAACATGTAAATTTGCTTGATTTATAAATGGTTTTTCTTTTTATTACAGGTGCCATGTATGTAAGGCAACACAAAGCAACATGCCAACCCTAAAGGCACACATAGCAACTCACAACTATAATAAAAAGAAATAGGAAAAATGATTTTGTTTAAATCATACAAACTTTCATTTTATTTTTATATTTCAATTTGACCAGAAATGCAACTATGGTTATTTAAAGTGAATCTGTCAAATGGATATCTTTAATTTCTTAAGAATATGAGTAAAGAATGTCATTGCATACTACTTTAACATTTGTAAAATAAAAATACTTTTTTTTTTAAATATAAATGAATTGCTTTTCCTTTTTTCTTTTTTTTAATCAAGAAGATCTGATTTACTATTTAATTCTTTCAGTCCAACTGTAAACCAAACCTGATACAATGTTAATAGAAAACTATTAACATGAGTGCTACAAAATAGAAAAGTTTTTATTTCCTTTTCTTTTTAGAACTCAAGAACTTGTGGAAATATCTGATAAAAATTAATCACTTGTGTTTTGTTTTTCTTTAAAGTCTCTGTGAGTTATAGAGAAATATCAACAGGCACATAGCATTAAAAGCATTATTGCCAAGTTGAGAAATGTAATTTGATACTGTTCATTGAGCAGTCAAAGGAGCAAGCTGCTGGTGAGACACAGTTGTATAGAGTGGGCTGCTGGTGAGACACAGTTGTATTCATCTTGCCAGACAAGTAAACTGTTCTGAAGCAGTTTGACAATATTCTCATTTTTATATTGTTCTGATGGGATCATGTACACGCTCAGTAGCTCCACAAATTTCTTACAAAGTGACTGCATATTTTTTGTACACCTTGTCAGAGTTACCTCCTCCTTTCGCTCCTTAAACTAAGAGGAACAGGTCATTTCGACCTTGACCTCTCGTTTGTGCCCTTTATACACTGTTAACCTGTGGGAGAGACTAGCAAGTTCCCTTTTTAGTTAAGTTATATTACAAACCTAGTTGTAATATACTGCTAGACATTTTTAGGCCATAGTTCCCTTTAGCTAACCTCAACATATTTTATTATAGAGACTTTACTGTTAGCTTATCCAATTCACTTGCTGGCCTCCCTTACCACAAGACAGTGGTTTCTCACTAAATCCTGGTCGGGCGACTGAAACGGTCGGATACGCACGCCCTGGCCTTCGCGGCCAGGAACGTTGATCATCGGGCTGTGTATTAAGTTACGCTCCCATTTTTTTTGTCTGCCAACTTGACAATAGTTGGAAACTTTCCTTTCTCTCTCTTCTTCGCCTACTACTCCTGGCTTCTGTTCGACTCTCAGCATTCCGTCCCTACTGGCTGCCTGCACGTCGTCCTTAACCTTTCCCGTACACTATGTTAGTAATTAATACGGGAGGTTACTAATATTGGACTCGACCGGCAAACACGCAACGCCTGCACTGGACCTGTGACATGCGCAAACAACGCCAGCTCTTCTTTCCTTCCCAACATGTCAAGTTGGCACCCCGGCAATGACCAACAAGTGGCATCCCGGCAACGATCAACTTCAACAACCAACAGCGATGATCCTGCCAACAACCAACATCAACTGCAACAATCAACAGCGATGATCCTGCCAACAACCAACATCAGCTCCAACTGCAACAACCAACAGCGATCGTCCCGGCCAACAATCAACTTCAACAACCAACAGTGATCATACTGGCAACTACCAACACCAACCTCGACCATCAATGCCTGCACTAGAATTTCTGCGTCTCTACCGTCCGACCACTTTTATTTCTTTTTCTAGAATAAATTAGCATATATCATATATATCCTCGTTCTGTCGTCTATATTGTTTCCCCGTCAGATTTAACGTCTTCAAAAATGTTAGCGGGCCTGTTGTGACCTCATTCACCCTTGTGTGATACTGGGGCGCTCGGGGTACCGCTACAACCTGATCGATTAAAATATGTGGTCGAGTGTTTTATTTTTTGAAGACAGGTATTGGGGTTTTATATATATATATATATATATATATATATATATTTAAAAATTGTGCCAAAATTGATCCCATTTTTCTAGAACTTTCCTTGACAGGAAATTGCATCATTTCCTATACAAACAATTTTTTTGTAAATCATCATCAATAACAAACAACTGGGATTATTTAGAGAATTTTTTTATTAATAGATATTTTCATTGGACACATATATCCCATTAAGATTTTTTATCTATGTGCTGTGTCCCTTTAGGACATTGGGGATCTCATGGCTCTCCACAATTTCCTGTTCTTTGTAGCTCTTAGTAAATTTTGTCTTTGTGCTATCTCTCCTAATCCCTGTTCTGCCAATCATTTACACAATCTCATTAGGTAGGTTATGTGTTATTTTTCTCTGTCCCTCTTGCTTACAATATGTCCTGTGAGTGTCAAATTTTCCAAGCCATCTTTCCTCATTAATGTGACCTTGAGATTTCAACTGTCTCTTTTTGATGTTAAGTATAAGTGTCCTTTTTGTTTCCATTTTCTCTAAGCCTTTGTCATGTTTGGTCCATGGCCTTTTCAGCATCCTTGTGGTAGAACCACATTTCTGTCACTTCTTCAACCATTAGGATTGAAAAGGTTATGATTTTATTATGTATTCTCATAGCAACTATCAAAATGATACTCAGCCCACATACAATAATAACAGACCGTTCAAATTGGTTGTACTTTCTTCTATGACAACGGTTGATTAAACATTGTCATTAAACTAAAGATCAATGAAAATTCTAAAATAGAAGGGATCATTTATTCAGAATCAATATGTGACATATTTAAATCATCTCCTGTAGTTAAATGAGATCTTGTGCTACTTGGAATAAACCTCTCTAGTTCCAGATAAAACAATGCACCACTGGGACAATTTGAGACTTTTTTCTTTTCTTTTTTTCAGAATATTAATAAATGAACACCAATCAACAAAGCTGATGTATTTGAAACCGGAAAAATTGAAAGAGGAATCATTTCTTGGGTCTACAGAAATAATGCTTAATTGGATATTGCCTGTTTGGTTCCATCTATGTTTAGCATATTGCCAAAGGTGACAGCTAGATAACAATGTATTTGTTACTGGTATTTTTACTTTTCCTTTCATCACAAGAATACATGAAGATTTGCTGATTTTTCATTAAGAATTGATCATAATAAAATCCTCTTAGCTATTATTATGATGTCACAATCCTGTCCTCAGTCACCGGCCAAATCCATGGTCAATCTTTATGGCCAGCCTTGAAGCTGGTTTCTCAATCTTCAATCCCACTCTGCCCATGTTGGATTTGTTTTAGATGACAGGGCTAGTGAAGGCCAAGTTGTATGCTCAACGTTGCTTATCTGGTAGCTTTGGCAAGATGACATCACAAGGAACAAAGTAAGAGACAGCTGTGTAACACAACAACTTTATATCAAAAGTTCATACAATGAACATTTTACTCACTAAATTAATAGCATGCAGATTTTTAGCACCTTCCCTCTTAATACCCCTGTGACACTATGTCTAGCCATGCTTGGTAAACTAGTACAAAGCTGAAGTATGATTACTTCCACTCTGTGATTTCTTCAGGTCAACCAATCAGGTGCATTTGGTAGTCTGGAACAAGTCTGGAGTCTAAGTTCTTTCTGCAAAAGCTGTGCAGGGTTTGGCAAAGCAGGTCTTGAAACAACTGGCATATGTCTCTCTCAAACAGCAATTCAGGCTGTCTGGTAACTTCTCCGTCTCTTGCTTCTCTCGTCTAATGAACTCTCGTGCAAACCCAGTGCATGGCATGAGGTGGTTGTGGTTTCCCAACATTTATACAGAGCCTTTCATTGTCTGGACTTGGGAAATTGATTCCCTGACCAAATTTGGGGTGATCCCTCCCCTGAAGAGTGATGGTAGCAGAATATCAATCCTTCCATTTCGTGTGGGTGCCTCTCACCATTACTGCCTGAAGGGTGCAGGCAATTCCTCCATCTTCCGTGAAATTCTACCTGGGTTTTTACCTCTCTCTTTGTTCACTCGTCAAACCTGTCCCCAGAGGCTAAGCGTGGTCTATCCCAAATTACTAAATTCAATTATCATCCAAAATTTCCATCAGTGGAGAATTCTTACCACATCCTTGTGTGGTCGGCTGCATCTGGGATTCATTATCTGTCATTTATCCATGCCAGCTTTTTGGTCAACAAGCGACAAAAAGAGACAATTCCTCTTAATAAATTTTATCATGTCTTAGGCAGAAAAATATAACTACAATGTCATTCCTGTTTTCCAAATCCTATCAACTGACCAAACTTTTGCTAGAGACTTGCTGTTAGCCTCCGTTTATCTCACCAGCACTTAACTCACCAATGACATTAAAATATAATCTATCCTTCTGTGCAAGGTCAACTGGACACTTAAGAAAATACCATCATTTAACATCAATTTGATCAAAAACACATGGTGCTTATGCGAATCATCACCAGCAATTCAGCCTCCCTCCCTAGTTTCTTCTCTCCCTTCATTCTCCTTGTCTTTCTTATCAGTATACTTTCAGTCTAAAGAAAATACCACCTATTTAAATATTTTTATAAGATAGCATACATTTTATATAAACTTTACTTTAAATCTTATATTTTAGTGGATACATCTTTTTGATAAGATGTCGTATTTTTTGTTCTTTTTTTAAACCGTCTCAATTACATCTACCAGCTTGTGCACTGAATAGTCTTAGAAAATAAAATATGCCCTCTGAGAGGGTTCAAACCTTTGTAGGATACATTTTCTTTACACAGACTCTCAAAAGTACAGTCTAGTAGCCATAATTTACATAGTTTTAAAAGAAAAGAAAGGCTCTCTACTCAAACACCTGTATCCACTAAAATATAACATTGAAATTAATAATATCAGATTAAAAATAAAAAGACCTATCAATTCTTTTATATATATATATATATATATATACTAGCTTAAAAGCTGCCCTATCAGACAGCATTTAAGCTAGCTCCTGTGGAGGGCTCTTGACTGGGCCTTCATCAAAATAGGTAGGGAGGAGTAAATGTGATAGACAAAAATAAACTACAGAAGAACTCAAAATTGAACACTGTATTGCATTAATATCTAAGCTTACCTTTTAAAAGTTCAACGAT